ATCATTCCATAGACCAAATATAGTTGACATATTACCTTTAGTAAGTGACAAAGTAGAAAACCACAAAAACTTATTATTGGCCAATGAACCATGAGAATGTGGTCAATGTTAAATGAACAATACCCGACAGACATTTGTACCTTAAAATCATTCAATACAGCAAATATAATTGACCTTGTTGCTTACAATATTTTTATACACTGACATGACCATGAAAACTTAAGTGGCTATATTGAACCATGAAAATGAGGTCATGGTCAAATGAAACCGGCCAGACAGTCATGTAAACCTTGCCATCTTTCGATACACCAAGTATATTAGCCCTATTTACTAATAGTATATGAGACATAGATCATCTAAGTTGTACATGTCCGACTGGCAGGTTTCCTCTGACATTGGCATTTTTTCATGGTTCATTGGACAGTTTAGAATCATTCCATACACCAAATAGTGTGGCTCCATTGCTTATAGCATACAAGAATGGTACACTTAAGAGCAATTACTTTTTTTTTAGAATTTACATTTCAAAAGGACATTACTTCTTTAAAAGTAATAGATCAGCACAAATTTTCGAAATTGTTCGACATTGCGGATATAAACCTACAACAAGCATTCTTAGAGTATTGCATGACAATACATAGTCCCCTACCGGTTAAAAATTCATTGAACAAATTTACTGGAACAAAATGCCAACTTGATCTATAAATTGTAATGGCGTAAACTTTATATCACATATCAAGTTAATATCTTCAAGCATGACGAAAAAAAGTGTGGAAAACTGATTATTTAAGTGAATTTTCTAAGTCCAAGGACCATAGCTCTGCACAAAATCATCAGACCGGAACAAAATTCGAACTTGATCTGTTACTTATCAGATAAGACTATATAAACCAATTATCCATACAATATCTTCAAACGTGACGAAAAAAAGTGAGGAAACTTATTATTTGAGTTAATTTTCTAAGTCCAAGGACCATAACTCTGCACAAAATCATCAGACCGGAACAAAATTCTAATTTGATCTGCAACTTGTCACGATAAAACTATATGCCAATTATCAAATCAATATCTTCAAGCATGACGAAAAAAAGTGCTGAAAACTGATTCTTTAAGTGAATTTTCTAAGTCCAAGGACCATAACTCTGCATATAAATCATCATCCCCGAACAAAATTCAAACTTGATCTGTAACTTGTCATGATAAAACATTACAGCAAATATCAAATAATTTAGCAATGAACATTAATAATTAAACATTGCAATGTATTGAGCATTGGAAGGCATTACAATAAATAGATAAAATTGTAGTTGTTTCACCTATAATTATGTGTAAAATAAGGGAAGATAACTTTAACTTTGACCGACATTAACAATGACATTATTGATATTTTTAGAACAGATACTTGTTCCGTGCACCATGCACGCTTTAAGTAATTTTGAGTAGTATGGTTATACTCATCATTTTGTAACACAAGTATTGGAGCAATGGAAAATTGAGAACTATTAAGCCAGCCACACAAGGGGTTTGATTGCAATCTTCACCCCAATAAAAATATGGCAAGAATCGTACACCTGAGAGCTCTTGCAAGACTGGCAGATGGCTGATGCCCTATATTTCTATGTCCCTTGCACCACGTTGTTTCTAAGTGCCTTGGAAGTGTAAGCAATTAAATTTTTTTTTGAAATTTTGAAGATTATTTTCTTTTCAGGAAAAAAGTACAATTTCAGAGAGTTCCATAAACTCTTAACACAAGCTATTGTCTGGAAACTACAAATGCTTGTTTTTGGCCCTTAATTTCTAAACGTTTTGGGGCAATTAACCCCAAACTCAATCCCAGCCTTCCCTTTGTGGTATGGAACCTTGTAGTACAATTTCAGAGATCCATACACTTAAACACAAGTTAGTGTCTGGAAACTAGAAAAATGCTTGTTTTTGGCCCCTAATTCCTGAACGTTTGGGGCAATTACCCCCAAACTCAATCCCAGCCTTCCCTTTGTGATATGGAACCTTGTGGTACAATTTCAGAGAGATCCATACACTTACACACAAGTTATTGTGCGGAAACTACAATAAACTGTGAACACAGAGATATGTCTCACCTTTTTGTAATTTTTGTTAATGCAAATGTTGAAATTAAAATAGCAATACTTTAACATGTAAGTTATGCAAATATTCAAAGTCAATGAAAGTACAGGGCTAAACAATCTCCATGGAAATGAGATGTGCCAATGCTAATACAACTGCATACCAAATACCATTGACTTATCACAAGTCGTTCCCTTTAAACAAACCTTAACACAAACATTAACTTGTAAACCATGTAAAAGTTACAAAGTCAATGAACTATGATGAAGGGGTGGGGATATATAATCTCCATGGAAAAGAGACTTCCAAATGCCAATAAATTTGCATACCAAATATCATTGACTTAACATTAGCGGTTCATAATAAACTGATCTAATCGCAAACTAATACATGTAAACTAAGCAAAAATTTCAGTCAATAAACCATGACTGAGGGGGCAGGACCAAATATTCTCCATGGAAATGAGATGTGATAATGCTTATACAACTGCATACCAATTAACATTGGCCAACCACTAATGGTTCCCCTTGAACAGACCTAATCACAAACTAATACATGTAAACTATGCAAAAGTTTCAGTCAATAGACCATGACTGAGGGGTGGGAGCCAAATAATCTCCATGGAAATGAGATATGCTAATGCTTATACAACTACATACCAAATATCATTGACCTACCACTAGTGGTTCCCCATAAACTGACCTAATCACAAACTAATACATGTAAACTAAGCAAAAGTTTGTCTTTAGACCATGACTGAGGGGGCAGGGCCAAATAATGATGTGCCAATGCTAATACAACTGCATACCAAATATCATTGACCTACCACTAGTGGTTCACCATAAACTAGACCTAATCACAAACTAATACATTCTCCGTCAAGGCGAGACAAAAATGCTTCTTTTTGGTCCCCAATTCCTAAACTGTTGGTACCATAATCCCCAAAGTCAATCCTAACCTTCCTATTGTGGTATTGAACCTTCTGGTAAAATTTCAGAGATCCATTCACTTGAACTAAAGTTATTGTCCGGAAACCAAATGCGTCTTCAGACGACGACATGATAGCATTATACGAATGCAAATTTTTTGCGGTCGTATAAAAACCATGAATTTAAACAAAGTTTAATTTTGGACCCTTTGGACCTTAATATGGACTAATTTGAAAACAGGGCCCAAAATTGAAAATCTGAATGCAGTTAGATTTAGCATATCATAGAACCACAAGAATTCAGTTTTTGATGAAATCAAACTAAGTCTAATTTTGGACCCTTTGGACCTCAATGTAGACCTATTTAAAAATGCCCAAATATCCAATATAGTAAAAACCTCAAACAATTCAAGACTTTAAATTAATCCTCATTGAAATTGGTTAAAAGATTTGTATTATTTTCAATTGAAGATTTCTTGCTGTTAAGCAATACTTAGTAAATCTGTTTACAAACTAAATATAATAATTTACACACCCTGTTTGGTGTGCATCTCCTTTGCCATATCAGTATTTGTTGTTTCTTTATATAGATCAGAAATAATTTATGTTAGAACCAGCTTAGCCAGTATTAGAAAAATCTTGTTTTTGGCCTCTAGTTTCTTAACCATTAAAGCCACAACCCACAAAATCGACCCCAACCTTGTGGTACAATTTCATAGAGATCCAAACACTTATACACAAGTTATTGTCCGAAAACTAGAAAAAATGCCTTTTTTGGCCCCTTTTTGACTCCAATCCCTAAACAGTTGGGACCATTACCCACAAAATCAATCCCAACCTTCCTTTTGTGCTATTCAACCTTGTGGTTAAATTTCATACAGATCCATTCACTTATACTAAAGTTATTGTCCAGAAACCAAATGTCTTCGGACGACGACATGATAGCAATATACGAACGCAAATTCAAACTTGATCATGATGATGATGGATAGCCATTTAATGTCCAGTTGCAAGTTAAATGCATATTCAGGATGAGAACATGTTAATGTTATATGAATAAAATCAAGAGCTTTGTACTAGACCACCACACTGAGCCGTTTTTTAACTTGCTAATTCACAAGGTAACAATCTGCAGGAAACCATGTCACAATCTCCAGGCACATAATTCCGTCTATGGGCTCTTCAATCTAAGCTCTCACTCACAAATGCTGTGCGCTCTGAAGAGAAGCAGCAAATACCAATTTTGAAGTATTTGGTTTGACCTGGCTAGGAATAAATCCACAACAGCTGCACTTGAGGTGACCACTCTACCGCCATAACATAAAAAATCTGAACAAATAAGGGATTTGGGGATGATCAAGTCAGTGGGTAAAACTTCTTACTAGATGGACATGAGGATCCTCTTTGCTTGTGACTTGTCCTGTTGGGTTACTGTTTCACTGAAGTATACACAACATCTGTAATTCATTATTCTATATTAGCCAATGAGGTAACAGTCTGCAATAAGACATTTACCAAATCCCTTCACTTACATTTTAAAAGAATTGCCAGTCTTATTTTACTAGGATACCAAATAAATATTTCATTATCTGAACTTCCATTGGCCAGTATATTAGGTACAAAACAGATAATGTAAACCAACTAATTTCAAATTCAAATCGCCGTGAAGAGAACTAGAATGGGCTGAACACAAAATAAAGTATCTGCGAAAATAAGTTGGTTTACAGTAAACAGAAATACAAATGTAATAGATACAATAGACAATTTGTTTCTGTCTTAGCCTTGGTTATATTGGTCTGTAATTGACAGTGTAGCCACTAGTAAGATGACGGATTTTGTTTATGGACTCTTTCATATTGGAATATTTATCTTTAGACTATAGTTGTTAGAAAAGATTTTGATGCAGACTGCAGTTACACAGCACTAAGATACTATCATTAATATGGAGTATAGGACTGATCATTGCTATTATACACAAATTAAACAATTAGGAGCTATCAAGTTTTTATTTTTCTGCTTTTTTCTTTCCTTTTCCACCCTTTTCACCCTTTTCAGCTTTTTCTGCTTTTTCAGCATCTTTAGCTTCTGCTGCTGACTGAGCAGCTTCCTCAGCCTCCTCTTCTTTGGTGGATCTGGTAAAGATCCATTGGGAGTGGTGCTTGGAAACCAGGCGAATTTTTCCTGAAATTGAATAGAAACTCAAATTCATACTTCCTTTCTTGCAAGTTTTGTCTTCGAGACATGCATTTTACTTTATTGTCTTTTCTAAGAAAAAATGCAAATACTGTGAAAGTGAGTTGTTTTTCAAAATTGTCTTGTTGATTTGCCTGACAATTGTTTACAATGTTCATAATGATGTTGCTAAATTGATTGAAAGATCGGTTAATGTTTCACCATTTTCTGTACTAGTTCAGTACTTTACATTCATGTGTCACAAAATGTCTAAAATTTATATACATATTTGTCCCCCCTCCCCTTTTTGAAAATGCATGATCAGAAAGTTACTGCTAACTATAGAGGATTGGATGGATGGCTGTTCAACGTCCAGTGGCAAATTTTATGCATATTCAGGATAAGAAAATATTAGTGCAATAAGAATATGTTCCCGCTAATGCATATTCGGGATTAGAAAATATTAGTGCAATATGAATATGTTCCCACTTTGTAATAGACTCACACGCTGAATTGAATTTTTAACCATCTTGTTCACAAGGTAAAATTGCTGCAGGAAGACATGCCACCCTACCAAAACACATTATTCTGACTCTAAGCCAACCGATCTTTGCTTTTCTTAATGCTGCGTGCAGAGCAGAAGTCAACCAATCTTTGCTCTCACTCTTTAATGCTGTTTTCAGAGAAGAAGCAGCAAAAACCAATTTCAGAGTCTTTGGTTTGACCAAACAGGGGTTTGTACACATTACCTCCCGCATTTGATGAGAACACACTACCTACCACAAAGCTAGAGAGGCTGTCTGATAACCCCTCTTAAATACAAAAGCTTACAATTTTTTAGTTTATTTATGAATTATGTCAGGATGTTTGATCTATATCTTTTACAAGATTGTGTTTGCTTAAAAAATCAGTATCATTTAAAAAACAAGGACCATAACTCTGCACAAAATCATCAGACCAGAACAAAATTTGAACTTGATCTGTAACTTGTCATGATAAAACAATACACCAAATATCAAATCAATATCTTCAAGCACGAAGAAAAAAAGTGTGGAAAACTGATTTGCCGGACTGACGGATGGACAGACAGACGGAGCGCAAACCTAAAGTCCCCTTCGACTTCGTCGGTAGGGGACTAATTAATGGGGAATATGTCCATGGGACACATGATGCCCCCGCTTGCATATCATATAAAGGGACATAACTGAAGAATGGTAAAAGTGACGCTACCCAACATCTGAGTTTTGTGGTAATAAGTATTGTGTATAAGTTTCATAACATTTGGTCATGGCAAACTGAAGTTTAGAGAAACGGAAACAAAAATTTCAGCATTTTTTCCATGTGTAAAGGGGCATAACTCTAGAACAGTAAAAGTGACGCCCCTAAAATTCAAATCTGATCTGTATTTTGTGGTAATAATTATTCGATCATTTTATTTATTTTTCTTCTGTTTCAATCAATCTTACCTTCCTTGTGTAGATCTAACAATCCTTTCTTGGCTAGGGAACCTCTGATTTTCAGTCTTTCTGACACTACTGATGGTGTGATCAGTTTGTAGCTAGGTACTTCTTTCCTAAATTTTTCAAGTGTTACCTTGTCAAATAATACCAAATTGTTCAACTTGTCACGGACTTTTCCCTTGGACCACTTCTGCAAAGTACAATGAAAACTGACAACTTTAGATTCTGCTAAAGACAGAAAGATATAAACAGACTTCCACAAAGAGAGTTGGGTTGAATCTTGATTATTAAACAAATATCATTTCTCATTACTTTTGGATAGTTACTATGTACAATTATGGTAAATCCACCTACTGTCAAAGAGTGAAATGGCTGTTTGCAAAAATTAAATACGAGTAATACATTTAATATGTAGTTTTTCTTAAATTGTGTAATGTTATTTTTGTATACCAAAGAATGCATTCAGCAGTGCTTTTCACAAAGCCTTTTACCATCATGGTAATGTGATGCTACTTACATGTATGTTTGAATGTGATGGTACATATATCTGAAACTATTTTCTTATAGTGTGTTTTGGATGTGATGCTGTCCAGAATGCTATATGAAATTGGATGGGTGAACACTTGTGATTGATACAAAAACAAGATACATTAACCCTGCTGTCACCACCCTATTTGGTACTCCAAACAACAAAATTTATCCTGCAAATAATCTTTGAATAATCTTGATTTTTCTGAAAACATGCACATAACCTTTGACCTGATGTTATGTTAAAACTTAAATTGCCTACTTGAACCAACCAAGTATTCACATGGTATTGGATTCACTTGGTATTGGTTTTCTCTTTGAAATTAATATAACAATCTCCAAAAGGAAGTAAAATAATTCCTATATTCAACTCCTGACAAGCTGATCCAAAAGAAACGTATATAACTACACAGTACTAGTCACAATGTCATTCAATTTGAATTTACCACCATATTTGGCTCAATCTATTGTTAAATATTCCTGGACACCATCTAAAATTTTTAAATATGTTGTTTTTATGCAGCCAATGTGTTCCTTAAATTTTATTGCCCATCTTTTAACTTTTTTTGACAAATTTAAAATTTCAAAATCCTCATCTTGTGTATTTCATGGTTAACCTATAATATCAAATACATAATTGTCAACTAAGGACCATATTTTCATCCTCTACAACAAGAAATAGACATAGTTATTCATGTCTTTAGCAACAAAGAGTTCATACCTTCTTCTTGGCCTTTCCACCACCTTCCTTCTTTTTAGCTGGCTGTTTTGAGCCCCCTTTGGACCCTCCTTTAGGGTCTGGTTTTTTAGCTCCCTAAAATACACAAAATGTTTTCAATTATCTTTTAGCATGAAATAACTCACTGGAATAATATACAAATTTAAAGTACGTGTAAAATATCACAGACTCAACATCTTCACAAATCACATTTTTTAAGTTTACAGCTGAACCGAGCTAGGTCTGTTTGTACACTACTTTCAATAAAAATTATAACAGTGCACAATTTCCATCCAAATGAACTAGACATAGGTCTTTTCTAGCAGACATAGTAATATATTATGTTATTTTCATGCAAGTTGAATATAAAAATAAGATGTGGTATGATTGCCTGAGACATCTATCTATCCTCCAAAGTTCAAATGAAGAGGATGTGAGCAATTAAAGCCTTAAGAGACAACAGTAAGATGGTGGTTTAAACATGTTTGAAGAGTTTTATGCACAGTGCATTGTTGAAACAGCTCCCAGTTAGCTTCTAGTTCTACTGGTTTGTGAAGTCGTGAAAAAGTTGTGTAATTTTAGAACTTATGTGGATTGGAATAAATAGGTCTATTGATTTTTTACCACTAAAATTTTATAACTGATTCTTTGATATAATATCCACTAGAGTCATATGTCATGATATGAAACAAGTTTCTTGAAATTATTATGTCAAGGTTCATCATAACAAACAATAAAATGCTCCGCTGGGGCGCAGCTTGATACGACCGCAGAGGTCAAACCCTGAACAGTTGGGGCAAGTATGGACACAACATTCAAGCTTGATACAGCACTGAATTTGGATTGTAATTAAATATTTGACACAGCATAGGTTTCTGACACAGAATGAAAGTGGTCTAAGAACTTATAATTTTTTAATTTACCTATTCATATATGTGATGGACTGTGAAACTCAGATCAGGAGATTGGGAAATTTTGGTCAGGAGATTAGGACTCAGATCAGGAGGTTTTTAATCGACATAAATTTTGTCGTAAATGTAACCGTGTGCTGTAAAAATGGTCTTTTAAAGTGTGTTTTCTTCAACTTTCCATCCAATTTATTATGTTTATAGTACCCTTGTACTTATAAAGTTTCTCCATCTTTATATTTTACATGTTCAATCTAACATTTTTTTTTTTCAGTATGTTCTTTAAATTTTTTACTTCGTATTCTATAAAACATTTATTGCAACCAGAACATTTGTTTAACTATCTGCAAATAGCTTTTGTTTGCATACTCAGAAAATCATTCTAACTGTAAAACAAGGGTCATAGTTATTATATAAATTTCAATTTAAGCCTTGAAAGGAAGTATAGAATCCTCAAATAATTTTCAAATTATTATTTTTTTATTTGTCCTAAGACATTTAAAATCATTTATTTACCATCCTTTTATGATTATTTGTTCAATTTATATTTTGTTTATATTCTTTTAAAAATTTTCATTATTAAAAGGAAAGTAACTTAAAACAGGATAAATCAAGGGAAGTAACCCAATAAATACACAGTTTTTGTTACACAACGGCAGTTAGCCTGAGGTAAAAAATCGTTGATTACCAGTATGTTTGACACCCAAGCTGACAAGTGAAGCCATATAATTATGCATGTTAATTGATTTACAGGTAAAATATAACTTCAGGTAATGTGAGTTACACCAGATGCCTGAGATGATATGTTGGGCAGAAATTTTTCATTCATGAAAAATTTCATACACGGGATTATAATTTTCCTCTTCAACCGGAGGTCGGGAGGAGACTCCTGAAAACAGGATTATTGTACTCCTGTCGGGAGGTTCACATGTATGCTATTCAAACCATATCATTATTATTTGCTTTTATATATAAATCAGAAATAACCAATTTAAAATGGAAAATTTTAAAGAAAAAAAAGGAAAAAAAAATCCCCCCCCCCCAAATTTTTTGAACCCCCTTATGATTCATCGCCCCCACACTCAATCCCAGCTTTCCCTTTGTGGTATGGTACCTTGCAGTACAATTTTAGAGAGATCCATTCACTTGAACACAAGTTATTGTCTGGAAACTAGTAAAATGCTTGTTTTTTTGTCCCTTTTTGGCCCCTAATTCCTAAACGTTTAGGGCAATTACCCCCAAACTCCAACCCAGCTTTCCCTTTGTGATATGGAACCTTGCAGTACAATTTCATAAAGATCCATACACTAACACACAAGTTATTGTCCTGAAACTAGAAAAATGCTTGTTTTTTGCCCCTTTTTGGCCCCTAATTCCCCAAATTTGGAGGAAATTACCCCCAAAAATCAATCCCAGTATGCCCTTTGTGATATGGAATCTTGTGATACAATGTCAGAGAGATCCATACACTAACACACAAGTTATTGTCATGAAACTAGAAAAATGCTTGTTTTTTGCCCCTTTTTGGCCCCTAATTCCTAAAATTTGGAGGCAATTACCCCCAAAATCAATCCCAGCATTCCCTTTGTGATATGGAACCTTGTGGTACAATGTCAGAGAGATCCATATACTTACACACAAGTTATGTCTGGAAGTTACAAAAATGCTTATTTTTGGCCCCCAATTCCTTAACTGTTAGTACCATAACCCCCAAAATCAATCCCCACCTTCCTTTTGTGGTATTGAACCTTATGGTAAAATTTCATTGAGATCCATTCACTTAAACTAAAGTTAGAGTGCGAAAACTAATGTGTATTCGGACGACGACGACGACGCCAACGTCATACCAATATACGACCACAAAAATTTTTTTGCGGTCGTATAAAAATGGCTGTTTTTACACATCAAAAATCAGTTTGGCACAGACTGCGAGTACAAACAACCTGTGAAGTTCTTAAAAGTTTTAAGGCCTAGCGTCTACCAGATATATAAAACTAAATAAACATTTTCATGTACACTGTGATGTTACATGTATCAATTATGTTAATCAATTGCAACTGATTTTATGCCCTTTATGCCTTTATGGGCCCTGTATAGGCTGTAATTTGGGAAATAAAAATATTCTATTCTACAAAGCTAAATGCATTTGATTTTCAAATAGATGATTTTTTTTATTTTAATGGGCTTTTTTTTCATCACTGCCAATTTACTTAGTAAATAATTAGGGCACGTGTAATGACATTACTAATGTGGGCGAACGAATATTGAGTTTAATACCACAACTTCTTTCGTTCGTATGATTGAATTTGGTCTGAACTTAAAAGATCATGAAGCCTAATTAAATTTTTGAAAGAGAGATTAGTTTGTCGAGAGTATTTACTATATGTGTAAAGATCACGCTTCCTCAAATTTATATCACCCTCCCCCTTTTCATAGACACTCCGTTGAATTACAATTTAAGAGCATTTCAACAAAAGATTTATAGCAATTTCTAATACTGTTATATACAATTGATTTTATTAACTAACTGCTTATCAATATAATCTATTTCCAAACTAAACTTAAGATTTTAAGAAAAAAACGTGGATTGAGTACCATGCTTGTTGAGAGTTTCGGAAAAGAGGCCAATATTTTCTTTTTCCCACAATGCAACGGGAAGAAAGCTTATAACCAGGCAAATAAATATTATTTTTTCATTTAATAAATCTTTGTACTCGAAAATTAAGGAGAAACTAAAAAAATATGCGTATTCTGAATCAATTTATTCATAAACAGATACAGACAAACATAAAGCATTCAATGTTTTCTTCATTTTTCAGACACATTAGCGATCAGCGCAAATCAGATGCGCACAACTTTCATCACAAAGACTTCAAAGCGAAAGTATGAAGATCACATGTACATCTTTTTATCTTGCTCAAAATCACCTTCTTTTTGTTCAGATGAGAGAATATTTTTATAATATCTCTGAGCAAACTGTACAGAGCACGTCTACTTGATCACGTTTAATCCTATTTTAAAATTAAGACCTAAGGAATTTGTTTTCTTTATAACAAGTGGGCTTTAATAGCCTTTATTACAACAAGGCACTGGATACGGTTACCCGCAAAAAGCAGTGGCGGATCCAGAAATTTTCATAAGGGGGAGGAGGGGGGCACTGACTGCCATAAGAGGGGGCCTGCTTAGTCATGCTTCAGTGATTCCCTAAATAATCGAGCTAACGAGCAATCAGTGAAAGACTACTTCTAGGGGGTGTTAACGACTTTTACTACCCACTGTTAACGTATATTTGTCCCGCCTAACAGAAGTTCCACTGGAAACTTTGTTATAAACAATGTCATAATATCTGTTCCTGTTGGAACAAATATTCTATACCATTTATCATGTTTATTCCGTTAGGAACATTTACTGTAATATTTATTCCAGTGGAAATAATATAACAGAATATTGTTTCCATTTGGAACTTGTATTATGAAGGAACTTCTATTCCGTGACACCATGAGGGTATTAAAGTAGTGAATTGTTTATGGTTTGCAAACAATTAAATTTGAGAATGGGATTAAGCTCCTTTTCATAAGTGGGGCGAGTTGGCAGGACAAAATTCATCAGGATTTTACTATTTTTTATAAGTGGGGCGAGTTGGCAGACCTTTATTCATCGGGATTAAACTCTTTTTCATAAGTGGAGCGAGTTGGTAAGAGTAAATTCTACGTGATTTTACCCTTTTTCATTAGTGGGGCGAGTTGGTAAACCAGAGTGGGGCGAATTGGTGAAAAAGTGGGGCAATTTGGCAATGGGGCGAGTTGTCATGGATTTGTTCATTCTTGCCACAGGGTGGTTGATTAAAACAACTCACTATTCTTAAACATGGATTCGATTGAGCAAAATGTCCAATTTGTGGTCGGTGAAAAGTTTATATGTATCAAAATTTTAATGATAAAATTGATTTTATTGTAACCTGCAACTTTCGTATGAAATTCGGTCCCTCTCCGGAAATACATTTCGGCAATTAGTCTCGGAAGTCACAATAACTATTTCTTATTGTTACTTTTTGTGAGTAACGGCAGCCAGTGCCTTACAACAATCTGTTTGTTTACCTAAATAGGATGTCATTATATAAGAAGCTCATACAAAAGAAAGAAGAAAAAGGGAAGACATTTAACCTAATACTACTACTTTGTGTTCATACATTTCATGGCCAAACACTTTGGCTCTCAATCTATAGTTTTATTTCTATAGATATTAGAAATTTGTTTTTAGGTATTGCTATTTGTAACTGGTTACAAATAGGTACATAACATAAATATATTGTGGTTTCAACTAGGTTCAAATGGTTACGCTTTTTTCTTATAATATATATCTATACAAAATTAAAGATACAGTTCAACTGGGTACAAACGATTACACTCATTTATCATAGGACACTTTAACTAGAAAGGTTACTATAATATATAAGTGTAACCATTTGTTCCCAGTTGTAACCAGCAGTTACTAATAGCAATACCTAAAGGTGAATAGTTGAACTTTTACTTTCCTTCTGATTGTGACATTAGGAATTTACAAAATGCATTTTTATTTTCTGCAATCATGTATCATTTGTACCCATTTGTAACTAGTTACAGATGAATGGATTGAAAATATTCACAATGTACCATTTGTATCCATTTGTACCTGGTTACAAATGAAAGGGGGAAATATTCAGCACTAATTTCTTGACATATATGTATTTCTAAATGAATTCATCATGAAAAATAAAAAAAATAATGAGTGCTATCTGTGTAATTTTTTGGTTGGTATTAAATACCACAGAACACATGTCAAATTATTTTTTTCAGTTATGATTAAATGCCTTTGAAATACCTCATTTTGTTCTTGCAACAATTTCAATATGCACAATAAGTATGCATCATGTGCTCTTGGTGCAGCTGTTTATTTTCTTATGAAAGCCATTGTCACTTCCATATAATTATACAATTATGAGTTTTATTGTTTGTATTTCATGCCATATTGTCTATTGTCTATATTTGCTCAATACATTTTTGTACGAGGCGCAGAAAAATCAAGACAAATTGATTGTGTCTCCTCAACAATAAGAAGAAATAATCATCAAATGTTCATATTTCGTTTTATTTTTTATCAGTAGCTTTATGTTCTAGAGTTGTATGATTGCATGCTATTGTTGATTATCAAATCATCAACACAGATCATCAGAAACAGTCTTTAAGTTGAACAAAGATAAAAGAATCCTTTCTTATTTTGAATAGGTTCTTCATGTTATTTTTTAAATTTACTCAGATACTGAGTATATCTTTATTTTATTACAAATCAGAATAACATTACCAAAGTCATGAATATGGATTGAATTTGATTGCAGAAAATGTAAATAAACCTACAGACCATGACAGACCTTTTGAAAGATATTCTATATGGAATCATTCATGGCTTTAGAGACAGTATTTTAGGTACTGTAAAAATATTTAAACTGGATAATCAGAATGAAGAAGAAGAAAGTGATAGATCATCAGAGCCTATGACAACTCTAGCAAGGAGGAGGGCAGAAAAAAGGAAAGACAAATCCTCCAGTCAAAAACAGCAGAAGTAAGGATTTTCAAATGATTTTTATAGTTTGTTCTTATGTTGTGCTGTAACACCACATAGTTCCAGGTTAAAGATGGGGTTGAGCGTTCACAAACATTTTAATTTCTCCACATTCTTTATGTTCACTAGAATGTTGATTATACTTCATCTAAATAACAGAATTTTGCTGAAAGAAGATGCATTGTATACTAGACCAATTGGTGGCCTTGCGGTGTTTTCTGCTCGTTGGTCGGGTTGTTGTCTCACATTGTTAACACATTCCCCATTCACATTCTCTATTCTATTTTTTACAGAGTTTGTCTTTAGTGCCATGTGGAGACAGTAGAGTAACTCCCTTTGCATAAGGTGTATGCTCTTATACTATACAAGATAATGGAGTGTGTGTCCGAATGAAAACTTCTCTATGTTCATTTCTTTAGGCATATTTATCTAAAACTTGTATATAAAATTTACGATAAAAAAGATGATTTTTCATATCCTATTGTTAATTATCCGTATTTTAGCACCATTGTGGTGTTTATAAATCTCAATTTGTTCGATTCCCTCGTGAATGTAACAAAGTAGCTGATTTTAATGAAAGAAATCTCTGTATTACTGAAAAATTATTACACCAGGTTTTTTCGATATCACAAACATGACAAACTTGTCAAAACTTTTTCTAAATTTTATCATCTGTCCAAGGACAAATATAAATCGACATGCAGACATCTTAAACGATCAGGTATTTCACATCCCATCTTTAATGGTAATATTCTATACAACATGTACAAAGCACTAAAATGTCGTCATTTCACCTCAAAAGCTAACCAAAGCTTTAAACAGACTTATTCACAAGGGATATAGTTACAATACTGTTGTCAAGTCATTAAAGATTGCATTTTTTGGAATTAATATTGATTTACTCATATCTATGTACATGATGTATAGGGTCTTTGCATCAGAAATAAACACATTTATTCTAAAACCAGTTGTTTGCATGTTACGGGGTATGTTCTTTGGTATAATTTATGCTGGCATAATACTAAATTCCTAACTGGAGGGATTGTGGTTGATTTTCATGTGATAAAGACATAATCTTAAGATCAGTTTAATTGAGATCTGGAGCTGGTATGTCAGCAACTGCTATTGGTCCAGGTCCTTTGTTTATTTTATGTTGATCATTGTCATTTCCTTAGTTTCTTCTGTTACCTATTTGGTACTCTGACTTCTTTTAAACTGAGTTTTACTGTGCATTTTGCTGTGTGTTTGTTTATTCCCCATTGGCTAGAGGTATAGGAGGAGGGTTCAGATCTCACAAAGCATGTTAAACCCCGCCACATTTTTATACGACTGCAAAAAAAATTTTGCGGTCGTATATTGGTATGACGTTGTCGTCGTCGTCGTCCGGCGTCGTCCAAAGACACATTGGTTTTCGCACTCTCACTTTAGTTTAAGTGAATGAATCTCTATGAAATTTTACCATAAGGTTCAATACCACAAAAGGAAGGTTGGGATTGATTTTGGGGGTTATGGTACCAACAGTTAAGGAATTAGGGGCCAAAAATAAGCATTTTTGTAACTTCCAGACATAACTTGTGTGTTAGTGTATGGATCTCTCTGACATTGTACCACAAGGTTCCATATCACACAGGGAATGCTGGGATTGATTTTGGGGTTAATTGCCTCAAAATATTAGGAATTAGGGGCAAAAAAAGGGGGAAAAAACAAGCATTTTTCTAGTTTCATGACAATAACTTGTGTGTAAGTGTATGGATCTTTCTGAAATTGTTCTACAAGGTTTTATATCACAAAGGGAAAGCTGGAATTGAGTTTGGGGGTAATTGCCCAAAACGTTTAGGAATAAGGGGCCTAAAAGGGGCCAAAAATAAGCATTTTTCTAGTTTCCAGACAATAACTTGTGTTCAAGTGTATGCATCTCTCTGACACTGTACCACAAGGTTCCATATCACACAGGGAATGCTGGGATTGATTTTGGGGGTAATTGCCTCAAAATATTAGGAATTAGGGGCCAAAAAAAGGGGCAAAAAACAAGAATTTTTCTAGTTTCATGACAATAACTTGTGTGTAAGTGTATGGATCTTTCTGAATTGTACTACAAGGTTCCATATCACAAAGGGAAAGCTGGAATTGAGTTTGGGGGTAATTGCCCAAAACGTTTAGGAATAAGGGGCCAAAAAGGGCCAAAAATAAGCATTTTTCTAGTTTCCAGACAATAACTTGTGTTCAAGTGTATGGATCTCTCTGAAATTGTACTGCAAGGTACCATACCACAAAGGAAAGGCTGGGGTTGATTTTGGGGGTAATTGCTTCAAAAATTTTAGGAATTAGGGGCCAAAAGAGGGGCAAAAAACAAGCATTTTTCTAGTTTCAGGACAATAACTTGTGTGTAAGTGTATGGATCTTTATGAAATTGTACTACAAGGTTCCATATCACAAAGGGAAAGCTGGGTTTGAGTTTGGGGGTAATTGCCCTAAACATTTAGGAATTTGGGGCCAAAAAGGGGCCAAAAAACAAGCATTTTTCTAGTTTCCAGACAATAACTTGTGTTCAAGTGTATGGATCTCTCTTAAGTTGTACTGCAGGTACCATACCACAAAGGGAAGGCTGGGATTGAGTTTGGGGGTGATGAATCATAAGGGGGTTCAAAAAATTTGGGGGGGGGATTTTTTTTTCTTTTAAAATTTTCCATTTTAAATTGGTTATTTCTGATTTATATATAAAAGCAAATAATAATGATATGGTTTAAATAGGTAAATTAAAATTTTTTAAGTTCTTAGACCACATTCATTCTGTGTCAGAAACCTGTGCTGTGTCAAATATTTAATCACAATCCAAATTCAGTGCTGTATCAAGCTTGAATGTTGTGTCCATACTTGCCCCAACTGTTCAGGGTTCGACCTCTGCGGTCGTATCAAGCTGTGCCCAGCGGAGCATTTTATTGCATCTGTCCCAAGTCAGGAACCTCTAGCCTTTGTTAGTCTTGTGTGTTTTTTTAATTGTGGTTCATTTGTATGTCTCAGAGTTTAGTGTGGTGTCCATTTCCTGAACTAGTATACATTGCTGTTTAGGGGCCAGCTGAAGACTGCTTTGGGTGCAAGATTTTCTCACAGCGATGAAGACCCATTTGTGGCCTTGGGCGGTTTTCTGCTCTTTGGTTTGGTTGTTGTCACTTTGACCCATTACCTGTTTCAATTCTCTATTCTAAAAGTAAGACATCTTAATCATGCATGAACGTTAAAATACTTGAAAAACGATCAGCTTACAACAACTGCTTTGAATAAAACATGTGTACAGAATTAAAGAAATGACTTTTGTAACAATTTACATATATGCATGGATGATCAATTCAGATTCAATGATGCTTTGATTTGAATGATAATAGTATTTAAATGACATAGAAAGAAATAATTTGCACTTGAAAATTTCAATGACAGATGTTAATATATACTGGAAGACGCGTCATATTTTGAAATGTTAAAACATTCATAAAATATTGAAAACAAAGTAATTATTTCCATGTAATGTTTACTTATTTTTATTCTAACCTGTGTGTAAATATAATTGCAATCCTGATTTATTGTAGGAATCCAAGAGTACTACAGAGATTATTTCTGTGTTGTGGTTGGAATGGAGGAATCTTTTTAGTAAGTTAGCTAACAGAATAGATGAAATATTTTGAGGAAGTATTTAAAGAGGCAATATTTTCCAGTACACAGTATACAAAAGTACCTTCATTGGGCAACATATTTTGGATACTGTAAATTCAAAAATTATTGCGAGGTTTTTATCAATGGGAATAATGCAACTCCATTAGTATCGCAATAATAAGAACAGCGGTATACTACTGTTGCCTTTATCATGTTTATTTATCTGATGCTTATATCTGTATGTAGCTTTTCCTAAAATCGAAATGATTAAACTAATTTTTTTGGTTCATTCTTCAAAAAAAATTGCAATAATAAACATACACAATAATTTCTGAATTTACCGTATTTATTTTAGAAATAGTAAATTTGAATAATTTGTGCAAAGAATTAGTGTATTATTTTCTAACTGGATGATTATTCAATCAGACACAATGTACATTTTGTATCAAATTGATTATATGAAAAATAATTAAGGTAACAGTGTACTTTGAAAATAACTACTATTTGTGAAGTACAAAGTTAAACAAATGTCATAGTTCAGTAAAACAGAAAAAAACCAAAGTGGATTGTTTTTCATCATTATGTTATGTTCAAGTGCCTGAAACCAGAAAAAGGAAACCCACAATTCAAACAAAAAACCTGATAACTTGAAATCTCAAAATTATTTGCAGTTATATACAGCAAAAACATATCTAAAAGACAATGAAAGAAATGAATGAAAATTATTATTGTTTATATATTCATTTCTATTGATTTGACCAATTGTTTTTAAAAAAATGGTTGTTTTTTATCGGAATTTAAAACTTGATCTTACAGATATCATTTGAGTTAGAAATTTCCAAATCTTGAACAGAGTTTTGACATGGTATTCCAAAAACTAATACAGGTAAAGTCTAGAAATTCTGAAAAAAATATTGAATTGAAGACATTCAGTAAAAAGAAAAAAAGAAAACTATTTACATCACTGAGTTTTAAAATTAATATATTTTCGCTATTTTTTCAGGCTAGTATATTACTATTTAATTATGTACTGATACCAGTATTACAGTGGTTCACAGAACTTATATTTAGTGAGTATAAAGTTAGTGACCATCAGTTATCTCCCATTGAAATTAACATGCATTACTTATTCCCCATTGATGTAAGGCATGATCAGTAATCTCCCTTTATCAAATTTTCTAGACATAACATTAACCAGGTAACCTCATTACATTACATATTGATTTTAAATCCTAGTTCTGTCCCTGATATTGGATACTTTTGACAGTTGAAAAGATCAAAAATAACAAACTCAAACTGATTAATCACAGTATTATTTTCATAATTGACAGGTAGCTCTGGTACAGAAGTTAGTGTATGGTCATATATGGTACCTGTATTGTCATGGACATTTAGTGCTCTCTGGATTTTACCTTTGTTTGTACTTAGTAAAATAGTCAACTGTTTTTGGTTTCAGGTAATGTATTTATTGTTGTTTGGTTCAAGAACTTACTTGTTTCATGTTGCACCAATTTTAAGAGATTTAAGTATGGATCAGGGCTCACGTTAGCAGGCGACTAGGGCGATAAAGTGGCTTTCCCCTCTGTCACTTCACTTTGCCCGACCGTCAAAAGCGAAATCTAGTCGCCCTGCTGTTCACCATACTCGCTTTCAGTCGCTTTCGTCATCGGACATTTTCAATTTTTACCAAGTCAATGTAACATCAATTTTTTATTGATAATTAAAGAAATTCAGACATAAACGATTTACTTTCTGAAGAAAAGAGTTTAAAGCATTGACTTTACAGTGTGTTGCAGGTTATTTAAGGGAAAATTATGCATTCCATACGCATTATCAGACTTTTGGTTAGATCTACCTGATTAATGTTTATAATTCCATATAAATGGATTGTTTCAAAATATTGATTAAAGTTGCTTAACTCTTGGACTGTTATACTAATATCAATAAATTATGGCCCAGCTTAACTCTACATATATCTTTTGATGATTAACATGATAAACAAGATAGTTTTTTTTAATTAAATTGTAATTGATATATTATACTTTCTTTTCTTTTTTGACATAAAAAAATTCTTTTTAATGCTAAATATTTAGTTGGTAGTTTCTCACAAGAACCTAAGCTTAAACAACTTTGAATTTGAACTGTTACTTTAATTGCATACTCAGACATAAATTGAACAATATAAAAAGAAAATTAATTACATATGACCCCTATATACTATAGTAAAAACCAAACATTGTGGCGCAGCCCGCGAAGGAGCACTTCTCTTTCAAATCTCACCACTTCTCCCTATCAGTTTCAAAAAGAGAAGTCACCTCCTTTGATTCTGAAGTAGTGTGAGCCCTGATGGATACAATATAAAGTAACTTAATTTATGTATACACATGTTTATTAATATCAGTGTCAGAGAATACAATAATAAAACAGCTAATACATTAAGTTTTAAGGAGGTAATACATGTAGTTTGTTTGAGAAACTCATCGCACAAACTTCATCTATTTGTAAGAGGGGCCTCAGTGGCAGATTCGTCTAATTTTTAAGCCTCTGCCGTAGGCAATGGGGGCATTAAGTGTTACCCTTGACCGTCCTTCTGTCCATCTTTCCTTCTTTCAGTCTGTCCTATTTTCATTTCCGCACTCTAATATTAAGTTTTCCTCGTCCAAATTTTACGAAACTCGTACACAATGCTAAAAACCACAACAGGCAGACAGAATTTGAATTTGGTAAGTGAGTCGTTACCCGTTCTAGAGTTATGCCCTTTTAAACTTGGAAAATTGCAAAGCTTGAGCAGGGGCATTTGTGTCCTCCAACAAATTCTTTTATTCAACTTCAGTTATCACTAGCCTGTCAACACTGAGGTAGTGAGTTCAAACCCACCACATGGCAGGTGCCTTTGACTCCATTCTTAATAGACTAAGATTGGTAGTTCCCTAAGGAAGGGATGGTTCACTCTGGGCACTCTGGCATCCTTAATCAATAAAAACTGGCTGCTACGAAATAGAAAAAAAGCGCTGAAAGTGGCGTTAAACACCAAAAATCAATCAGGCAATCAATCCACACATAGGATTAATTTTCCTGTATCTGTCATCCCTACATTCTCAAACCTAAGCATTATCAATCATTAACTTGAGAATATTACTTATTTGGTTCAATAAGTATAAAATGTACAGCCTGAAGTTACTGATGTTAATCAGCAATACATAGAAACATATATGTACTATACAGAATGTGTGCAGTTAATATTGTATGTCATTCAGGTATTAGACATAATATATTACACTGACTTTTTATTTCTTTCTCATAGCAAAAGAAACAAGTATATCAGTTGAAATCATATTTTCATGATTTTTCTATAAAATAACTACCCAACAAAACATTTCAACATTCTTGATCTTAATATTACATAATTTAATTGTTAACTGTTCTGTTTCACTTAATTTATGCTTATGAGCCATAATATTGCTTTTATTTTAGGACATTGCTGATGCAGCATATGTTAAATCCAGGGGAAAGCCACAGTTGTTATATATAAGTACACTTATAGCAGACATGTCTTTCAGTCTATTGATACAGGCACTCTTCCTAATACAGGTAAACATAATGCTTTACATTAGACAGGAACTCTTCCTAATACAGCTAAACATAATGCTTTACATTAGACAGGCACTCTTCCTAATACAGGTAAACATAATGCTTTACATTAGACAGGCACTCTTCCTAATACAGGTAAACATAAAGTTTTACATTAGACAGGCACTCTTCCTAATACAGCTAAACATAATGCTTTACATTAGACAGGCACTCTTCCTAATACAGGTAAACATAATGCTTTACATTAGACAGGCACTCTTCCTAATACAGGTAAACATAAAGTTTTACATTAGACAGGAACTCTTCCTAATACAGGTAAACATAATGCTTAACATTAGACAGGCACTCTTCCTAATACAGCTAAACATAATGCTTTACATTAGACAGGCACTCTTCCTAATACAGGTAAACATAAAGTTTTACATTAGACAGGAACTCTTCCTAATACAGGTAAACATAATGCTTTACATTAGACAGGCACTCTTCCTAATACAGCTAAACATAATGCTTTACATTAGACAGGCACTCTTCCTAATACAGGTAAACATAATGCTTTACATTAGACAGGCACTCTTCCTAATACAGGTAAACATAATGCTTTACATTAGACAGACACTCTTCCTAATACAGCTAAACATAATGCTTTACATTAGACAGGCACTCTTCCTAATACAGGTAAACATAATGCTTTACATTAGACAGGCACTCTTCCTAATACAGGTAAACATAATGCTTTACATTAGACAGGCACTCTTCCTAATACAGGTAAACATAATGCTTTACATTAGACAGGAACTCTTCCTAATACAGGTAAACATAATGCTTTACATTAGACAGACACTCTTCCTAATACAGCTAAACATAATGCTGTACATTAGACAGGAACTCTTCCTAATACAGCTAAACATAATGCTTTACATTAGACAGGCACTCTTCCTAATACAGGTAAACATAATGCTTTACATTAGACAGGAACTCTTCCTAATACAGGTAAACATAATGCTTTACATTAGACAGGAACTCTTCCTAATACAGGTAAACATAAAGTTTTACATTAGACAGGCACTCTTCCTAATACAGGTAAACATAATGCTTTACATTAGACAGGAACTCTTCCTAATACAGCTAAACATAATGCTGTACATTAGACAGGCACTCTTCCTAATACAGGTAAACATAATGCTGTACATTAGACAGGCACTCTTCCTAATACAGGTAAACATAATGCTTTACATTAGACAGGCACTCTTCCTAATACAGGTAAACATAAAGTTTTACATTAGACAGGCACTCTTCCTAATACAGGTAAACATAATGCTTTACATTAGACAGGAACTCTTCCTAATACAGGTAAACATAATGCTTTACATTAGACAGGAACTCTTCCTAATACAGGTAAACATAAAGTTTTACATTAGACAGGCACTCTTCCTAATACAGGTAAACATAATGCTTTACATTAGACAGGAACTCTTCCTAATACAGGTAAACATAATGCTTTACATTAGACAGGCACTCTTCCTAATACAGGTAAACATAAAGTTTTACATTAGACAGGCACTCTTCCTAATACAGGTAAACATAATGCTTTACATTAGACAGGAACTCTTCCTAATACAGGTAAACATAATGCTTTACATTAGACAGGCACTCTTCCTAATACAGGTAAACATAATGCTTTACATTAGACAGGAACTCTTCCTAATACAGCTAAACATAATGCTTTACATTAGACAGGAACTCTTCCTAATACAGCTAAACATAATGCTTTACATTAGACAGGCACTCTTCCTAATACAGGTAAACATAATGCTTTACATTAGACAGGCACTCTTCCTAATACAGCTAAACATAATGCTTAACATTAGACAGGAACTCTTCCTAATACAGGTAAACATAAAGTTTTACATTAGACAGGCACTCTTCCTAATACAGGTAAACATAATGCTTTACATTAGACAGGCACTCTTCCTAATACAGCTAAACATAATGCTTTACATTAGACAGGAACTCTTCCTAATACAGGTAAACATAATGCTTTACATTAGACAGACACTCTTCCTAATACAGCTAAACATAATGCTTTACATTAGACAGGCACTCTTCCTAATACAGGTAAACATAATGCTTTACATTAGACAGGCACTCTTCCTAATACAGCTAAACATAATGCTTTACATTAGACAGGAACTCTTCCTAATACAGCTAAACATAATGCTTAACATTAGACAGGCACTCTTCCTAATACAGGTAAACATAATGCTTTACATTAGACAGGAACTCTTCCTAATACAGCTAAACATAATGCTTTACATTAGACAGGCACTCTTCCTAATACAGCTAAACATAATGCTTAACATTAGACAGGAACTCTTCCTAATACAGGTAAACATAATGCTTTACATTAGACAGGAACTCTTCCTAATACAGGTAAACATAATGCTTTACATTAGACAGGAACTCTTCCTAATACAGGTAAACATAATGCTTTACATTAGACAGGCACTCTTCCTAATACAGCTAAACATAATGCTTTACATTAGACAGGCACTCTTCCTAATACAGCTAAACATAATGCTTAACATTAGACAGGAACTCTTCCTAATACAGGTAAACATTATGCTTTACATTAGACAGGAACTCTTCCTAATACAGCTAAACATAATGCTTTACATTAGACAGGAACTCTTCCTAATACAGGTAAACATAAAGTTTTACATTAGACAGGCACTCTTCCTAATACAGCTAAACATAATGCTTAACATTAGACAGGCACTCTTCCTAATACAGGTAAACATAATGCTTTACATTAGACAGGCACTCTTCCTAATACAGGTAAACATAATACTTTACATTAGACAGGCACTCTTCCTAATACAGGTAAACATAATGCTTTACATTAGACAGGAACTCTTCCTAATACAGGTAAACATAAAGTTTTACATTAGACAGGCACTCTTCCTAATACAGCTAAACATAATGCTTAACATTAGACAGGCACTCTTCCTAATACAGGTAAACATAATGCTTTACATTAGACAGGCACTCTTCCTAATACAGGTAAACATAATGCTTTACATTAGACAGGCACTCTTCCTAATACAGGTAAACATAATGCTTTACATTAGACAGGCACTCTTCCTAATACAGGTAAACATTATGCTTTACATTAGACAGGAACTCTTCCTAATACAGCTAAACATAATGCTTTACATTAGACAGGCACTCTTCCTAATACAGGTAAACATAATGCTTTACATTAGACAGGAACTCTTCCTAATACAGGTAAACATAATGCTTTACATTAGACAGGAACTCTTCCTAATACAGGTAAACATAATGCTTTACATTAGACAGGAACTCTTCCTAATACAGGTAAACATAAAGTTTTGCATTAGTCAGGAACTCTTCCTAATACAGGTAAACATAATGCTTTACATTAGTCAGGAACTCTTCCTAATACAGCTAAACATAATGCTTTACATTAGACAGGAACTCTTCCTAATACAGGTAAACATAAAGTTTTACATTAGACAGGAACTCTTCCTGATACAGCTAAACATAATGCTTTACATTAGACAGGAACTCTTCCTAATACAGGTAAACATAATGCTTTACATTAGACAGGCACTCTTCCTAATACAGCTAAACATAATGCTTTACATTAGACAGGAACTCTTCCTAATACAGGTAAACATAATGCTTTACATTAGACAGGAACTCTTCCTAATACAGGTAAACATAAAGTTTTACATTAGACAGGCACTCTTCCTAATACAGGTAAACATAATGTTTTACATTAGACAGGCACTCTTCCTAATACAGGTAAATATAAAGTTTTACATTAGACAGGAACTCTTCCTAATACAGGTAAACATAATGTTTTACATTAGACAGGCACTCTTCCTAATACAGGTAAATATAAAGTTTTACATTAGACAGGAACTCTTCCTAATACAGCTAAACATAAAGTTTTACATTAGACAGGAACTCTTCCTAATACAGGTAAACATAATGCTTTACATTAGACAGGCACTCTTCCTAATACAGGTAAACATAATGCTTTACATTAGACAGGCACTCTTCCTAATACAGGTAAACATAATGCTTTACATTAGACAGGCACTCTTCCTAATACAGCTAAACATAATGCTTTACATTAGACAGGAACTCTTCCTAATACAGGTAAACATAATGCTTTACATTAGACAGGAACTCTTCCTAATACAGCTAAACATAATGCTTTACATTAGACAGGCACTCTTCCTAATACAGGTAAACATAATGCTTAACATTAGACAGGAACTCTTCCTAATACAGGTAAACATAAAGTTTTACATTAGACAGGCACTCTTCCTAATACAGCTAAACATAATGCTTTACATTAGACAGGCACTCTTCCTAATACAGCTAAACATAATGCTTTACATTAGACAGGAACTCTTCCTAATACAGCTAAACATAATGCTTTACATTAGACAGGCACTCTTCCTAATACAGGTAAACATAAAGTTTTACATTAGACAGGCACTCTTCCTAATACAGCTAAACATAATGCTTTACATTAGACAGGCACTCTTCCTAATACAGCTAAACATAATGCTTTACATTAGACAGGAACTCTTCCTAATACAGCTAAACATAATGCTTTACATTAGACAGGCACTCTTCCTAATACAGGTAAACATAATGCTTAACATTAGACAGGCACTCTTCCTAATACAGGTAAACATAAAGTTTTACATTAGACAGGCACTCTTCCTAATACAGCTAAACATAATGCTTAACATTAGACAGGCACTCTTCCTAATACAGGTAAACATAATGCTTAACATTAGACAGGCACTCTTCCTAATACAGGTAAACATAATGCTTTACATTAGACAGGCACTCTTCCTAATACAGGTAAACATAATGCTTTACATTAGACAGGCACTCTTCCTAATACAGGTAAACATAATGCTTTACATTAGACAGGAACTCTTCCTAATACAGGTAAA